ACTCATTACTCTTGTCTGTCCCCTGTTAGATTCCGGAGGGGACCGAGCATGCCTAAGTCACCTGTTTCTGCCTGCACTGTAGATGGTCAGTGTTCGAGGTAAACGCCAAAGAGCAGTCCAGGGGGCCCTATCCTCTGAGGCTGATGAGTTTCAGGGACAGGCCACTAGATGATTCTGCTTCAGATGGGACCAAAATTTCATGAAAATAATCAGGGCTGGGGTGATGGGGAGTGAGATTTTTATCATCCAAAATATGAAAGTAAATTTCTTGTTTTCACCCCCATCCTGGTTCTTAAAGTGAACAAAGAATGACATGCCAAAAGCGCTTGAGTCTTCTAACAATTGTTTGGTAACCTGCCATGCCCTTTCTTTCACATTTGATTCTAACTGCATGATCAGAGCAAGTTTTGCAAACTGTTGAGGGGCTCCCGCATTCTTCAAGGGCTTTGGGCCCCTTTAATAGGTCCCTGTCTTCTGCAGAGCCGGTCCCGTCACCCCTATTGTTTCTTCAGTTGTGAGCTGCCCGCCTGCCAGCTCCTCACTTCCATGCTCGCAGGTGGTTTGGCGTAGCCCTCCATCAGTGCATGGGCGCTAAAGCCCTGCCTCTTCCACTGGGGCAGCCTAAGGGGAGGCAGTGGCTGAGGCCGCCCAGGAAACACCAGTGGCCCAGCGGGTAGGTGCAGCCAGGCTGGCCCCTGAGGGAGTACTTGTGCGACAGGAAGGTGTGCTGGGGCTGCTGAGGACCCGCGCTGCCTGTGCGGGGCTCCCGCTTCCGCTTGTGGGAGCGGCCACCCTCGGGCGCAAAGGAGAGCTCCACAGAACCTGTGGGTGGCAGAGCTGTTGAGTCTCCTGGTCACCAGCCTTGCTAAGGGGCGTGGCCATGAATTCATGTCCTGGGGTCAGCCACTGCCCGGGTTCTCATTCCCTCCCAGAGCCCTGCCTCCTGGCACCGCGCCCTCTCACGCGCCCATGAGTGCCGTGCCCTGGGTGTTGCCCACACCCTCAGAGGACAGCGCGTTCTGGGAGTGGGCCCCCAGCACTGGCTTCATCTTCCTGTTGGCCGCCTCCTCCAGGGGACGCTCACGGGCTCCTGATTGTGGCGTAAACTCTGGCTGAGTGGGAGGCAGGACTCAGCCTCTGGCTAGTGGAGCGAGAACAGGCAGGGAATAAGAAAGGTGAGCACAGGTGAGGCCGTGGGGAGCCTGTGCCCTGTTGGTAGGGCAGTCGCACCTGGGATCCAGCTGATGGTCACTTGGAAGTGTGGGCCCAGGATTCTTACATCTGCATTTTCAAAAGAAGCCAGAAATCCATATTTTTCTGTGAAAACTGCTGACATTTCAAGGTGGTTGGTGTTTTAAGAAGTTTCTATCTTGCCCTAGCCGGTTTGGCTCAGTAGATAGAGTGTTGGCCTGTGGACCCAGAGTCCCGGATTCGATTCTGATCAAGAGCATGTACCTGGGTTGCAGGCTCCTCCCCAGCCTGGGCCCTGGTCAGGGCTCGTGTAGGAGGCAACCAATTGATGTGTTTCTCTCACATCAATACTTCTCTGTCTTTCCCTCTCCCACTTTCCCTAAAAAATCAGTGGAGAAATATCCTTGGGTGAAGATTAAAAAATAAAAAAAAATAAAAAAGAAGTTTCTATTTTAAAGACACCTGCTGGTCAGGTCCTGGCTGGGGGCACTGTTTTAGAGCCGCTAAAAGTCCTAGCCTGCGTGACCCTCCAGGTCTTTTCTCCCCAGCCCCGATTTTCACAGGCCGAGGCCCACAGGACAGAAATAAAATGTCTCAATTCATCTGCTCAACTAGAACCCCAGCCTCCAAGTTCCTGCTGTCTTGTCAGTTACCTGTTTTTAGATTTCACCTTTTCCAGATTTTTGTCTACCAAGGCTTTAGTGTGGTTTAATCTTGACTTAACTGCTGAGAGCTTCTCCAGTCCCTGAGGTGTCTGCTGCTTCCAGGGTGGTTTCCTGTAGGCAGATGCCCCCACCTCTCCTGCCACCCCCCCTCCTGCTGTACTTGCTCTTTCCAGCAGTGTCCCCTCCTCCCCTTCCTCGCACTGCCTCTTTCACACCTGCTGCCCTTAAACTTGCTGCAGACTGTCTTCTGATCCGTGTGCTCTTGATTATTGATCATAGAGGTTATAAATGTTCTAAGAGGACTTTCATGTGTGTGTATATGGGGGTGTGCAGGCCAGGGGAGGGGTTGTGGGGGCAAGTGAGCAGGGTCTTGGGCCAGAGCCTGGTCGTTCACAGCCAGCAGTCTCCCTTCCTATCTGTGGGAACCCCGGGGCACGCTGGTGCCTCTGTTCTTGGCTCTCGACTGTCTCAGGCACCAAAGGCCTGAGCCAGTGCTGGGCTTGGGCAGTAAGGGTACAGTGGGATTTCTTGGGTGTTATTCATTGTTAAGAGTTTTAAAAAGAACACCAGGAAAGAGATACTTTGCTATGCCATTGCCACATCCTGGTCCCCGTTCGCTCCTAAGAAGTCCCAGCTCCCACGCAGGGCTCTCGGGCCGTGGTCAGCAGGGCTGGTCCCTTACCCCTGGAGGGCAGGAGGATGTGCGCCTCCAGGAGGCTCCAGAGCCACCGCCCTGATGAGGTCTGCTGCGTCCCAGGAGTAGAACAGGAGGACCTGTGAGTAACGGCTGTCATTCCTCTCAACTCAGAGCGGACCGAGAAGCTACCCATGGGCTCCATTAAAAACGTGGTCAGCGAACCCATCGAGGGGCACGAGGACTACCACATGATGGTAAGTAGCCTGGAGCGGCCCGCGGGCCCGCACTGCTCCAGCAGGGACTGCGTGACCGAGGAGACACGCCCGGAGACGCCCGTCTAAGGCCCCGGGCTTTCTTCTAGAACTCGCCCTTGACTTAGTCCTGGTTCTCTCGACTCCCGTCCACCCCCACCCCCGTTTTTCCAGCAGTTTAAGGGGGTATGTTGGGTGTCTTTGCCTCCCTTTTACTATAATGCTTTGTCCTTAGACCAGGAAAATAACTGTAATGAGGAGGGGCTTGTGGGCTTTCATCTAACTTTTTTCTTGTGCATAGAATTAAACCTCCCACTAGTCCTGGTGTTCGGACCCCCAGGCCTCCTCCCTCTGGGGTGGTGTCGCCCTTCCCAGGCTGCAGCGGTCACATGGCAGGGCCTATGGGGAGATGGATCTGTGGACACTGTTCTCGGGGAGGTCTGCTCTGACCGGCAGGCTGTGCTCTCCCGAGACAGGATGTGTGCAGGCACTGCCCTGTCTGTGCAGAGCAGAGAAAGCTCAGTGAGCGGAGCAGCTCAGGCACGTCCTCATACTTCCCAGCGCTGTCTGGAGGGGCCACTTTAAAAACGCTGGGACAGGGACCTGCCCTGAGCAGTGACAGGGTGAGGGCGGCCGCCTGCCTTTGTCAGAAGAGGCAGTTTTCAGCGTCCGACCAGCAGGGATGTAGCTGCGTTGGCCTGTCCCAGGGAGAAGGAACAATAGTGTGCTGACCATGGGTGTGGCACAACGTCCACAGCAGAGGGAGGTGTCGGGAGGTCCCAGCAGAAGGGGAGCTAGCATCCTGGCAGTGCTCTGTAGACAGACGGCAGACCGGGCTCTGGGAGGGTCTGCCAGCCCTGCCCCTCTCCTGTCCTGTCGGTGTCTGTCAGCCCCTGGCTCCGAGCTCCTGGGTGCCCCTCTGAGAGGTGACCACATCATGGGCCTTGTGGCAGCCCTCCACCTGGTCTCCGAGTCTTTAAAGGTCTGCACGTGGATTGTTTGCTTACTCAGTTATTTTTTTGCTTTAAAAGTTGGGTTTTATTTTATTATCTTTTATTTACTTTTAAATATTTTTATTAATTGCAGAGAGGGAGAGGGAGAGAGAGAGAGAGAAACATCAATGATGAGAATCATCGATCAGCTGCCTCCCGTATACCCCGCACTGAGGATCAAGCTTGCAACCTGGGCATATGCCCTGACCGGGAATCGAACCATGACCTCCTGGTTCATAGGTTGATGCTCAACCACTGAGCCACACCGGCCGGGCTAAAATTGGATTTTGGTATTTTCATCTGGCTCCTGCACTGCCCTCTGAAGAGTGTGCCTTCCCAGTTTGGCCCTGTAGTGTGTGCAGTCCTGGTGATCGGCAGCCTGGTGAGAGGGTTTTACACAAGTTGAGGGGCCAGCTTGAACCTCCTAAGTGATGGGTGTGGCTGGGCAATGCCTTAGATTTCATTTAAATGCTCATTTTTTCCAGTCATTTCTGGCGGCAGTGGCTCTGATCGCCCCTCTCTTTACGCACCATTACTCAGCACCTTTCCTCTGTCCCGATGAAAGCATTTGTTTCCTTCTCTGCAGACGCCATATCACTAGCTTATCATGCCAGAGTTCACATTAGAAGGGGGTAGCTGTGCTTTGTTATTTTCAGAGAAATCTTAAAAAATACAGGAAAGGACAGACGATTAAGCAAACCCATATACCCATCACCAAGAAGTGACCATTGCAAATATTTTGTAACTTGTTTTGAATCATTTTTAAATAAAAGATACTTTACCAGCAGCGAGTTCGTCCCCATTGTCTCCCCTCCCCACTGCCCTCTTCACGATCTCCCACTTGGCCTGCCCCGCTCTGCTTCCATTTTCATGTATGTCCATGAACAGGCTTCAACACTGTTTTTGTGTTTTATCAGTTTTCTTAAGTCATATCGTGGTATGTGTCATTCTGCTGCTTGCTCTTCTGGTTCGACATAATGATCTGTCTGTATTTACCATAGATCCAGTTCATACCTTTTAAAAGTGACCCAGTATTCACATGACTAGGCCACATCACGTTAATTGTGCATCCCTCACAGTGGACGGCAGGCTGTTTCCAAGTGCTCACCTTGCTGGCAGTGCTGCTTCGAGCGCTCACCTGTTTGCTGTGCATGTGTGACTGTTTCTAGGGCAGTGGTTCCCAGGAGGGTCTGGATCAGCAGTGCCACTCACCTGGGAGCTCCTAGGAATTGCAGATGCTCAGGCCCCACCGGCCCTCCAAGTCCCAGACTAAGAGGGGAGCCACCAATCTGCTGTGACAAGCCCTCCCCTCAGAGGGCTCTGATGTGCACCCGAGTTGGGGAACCACTGCTTTAGGGTTTGCTCTGCTTGCTTCCTCCTGCTGCTGCTCCTCTTGGACAAGACAAGAGAATGCTCCCCTCCCCACATGAGGTCTCCCCCTTCCCCGTTGATGAAGCCACCTCTCAGCCCTCCCCTGTGCGTGCTGTGCTGCCGCTCAGCCTCCCGACCTCTGAAGTGTCGCTTGGTTTTCCTTTTCCCTTCCAGGCGTTTCAGTTGGGCCCCACGGAAGCCTCTTACTACTGGGTGTACTGGGTTCCAACTCAATATGTGGATGCAATCAAAGACACTGTGCTGGGGAAGTGGCAGTATTTTTGAAAGCACTTTCACCTCTGGCCCAGGAGACTGACCCACAGTGAAGGACATTGCTGGGAGAGGCCTGCAGCACCCCCGGATTTCAGAGTTCTGGAACTTTGTTCACACACAATCTATACCCAATCTAAGGTGATGTGGTGACCGAAGCCAGAGGTGATGTTCTTTCACCCTTAGCTTAATCCTAACTTAAATCACCGGTTCCCTTTCTTGCAGTCAGCTTCATACCATTTTTAAAGTCAGTACAGTGGAAACCAATAAATCTGAACTCGGAAAGTGTTGTGTGGAATACTCTTAAGTGTATTTGAGAGTAGATCTGCCAAGGTTTTGTTTAGAAAGGAATGGTCAAAAGCTTTCTGCTTTTTTTAAAAAGTGATTTCAACAAATATTTTCATAAATCTTTGGTTGCAAACATTTGGACTGTTTTGATGAGTTGGGGTGTTTTATTTCTTTTTCATAAAAATTTTTATGCAAAGTGGGAGGGTTGGTAAGCCATATTTTTCTGTCCATTGACTCAGACTTAATTCTTTCCCTTTGTATTTTCTCACTTCCTAGATAGGAGTTTTTGTTTTGAAAGCCCAAAGATGTCAGTTCCTCCTTTTGTACCTCATCACTGCTTCCTTTCCTGGCCTTCCTCCCGCCGTGCTGCTGCTCGCGAATGCACGTGGGAGGGGGCGCAGCAGGTCTTAGGGAGCTCTCCCGCGTGCTGGTGTCTGGTGAGCAGCAGAGTATCTCAGACTCTTGTCTAAACACCTTGATCTCTGGGGTGGTCATTGCCTCCTTGATGGTTGCCTGCAGCCCTCACTGATTGGTTCTGACGCCCAGCCTGGCGTGAGTGTGCCTAGCTGTGCTGCTCCAAGATCCACAGTTCCCAGCGGGCACAGGCCTCTTCAGGCGGTGCCGTGGGAGACTGTGTACAGCCATGTAGCCACAGGCCCACTTTGAAAGTTTCAAGAAGCAGCCCAGTGGTCATTTCAGTTGTGCTTATCCATTTGTCCCTTCGCTCGTGTTGTGTTCAAGTTCTGCCTCCCTCGTTCAAAGATGCTGCCTTTCTCAACAAGAGGACATCTGACCCCGTGGGTTGGCGATGTGTTGCAACAGCAACTATGGGATAAATTGCTTTTGTGATGAGCTCGCCCTTGTCTGGTTTAGCCCCTACGTTCCTTGTCCATGTGAACCCTGGTGTCCCTTGTGGCTTGGTTGACCGAATGCGGAAAGGCTCCTGCGAGGGGCATCCCTGTGCTGATCCCCTGCCGCCCTGGCAGTCCTCCCCTCGCTGCTGCAGGCTCTCGGCAGGGCTTGGCCGGAGAGTCTCCAAACCTGCAGTCGATTCCAGGCTGTTCTCCTTGTTCTGTGAAATGTGTTAGCATGTGTGAGCCAGTGAACGGTGATCTTCTGCACCCTTCCCTCCAAACTGTAGTTGAGGAATCCAGCCGGCAAAGACAGGCTCGTGCTTCTCACGGTGTAGTCCCTTCCCAGTTCGCATTCGGGGCAGAAGTACATCGGTGAAGGGTAGTGTCCCAGGAGCAGTGACTGACTGCAGCCTCTGTCCTGCTGCCTGCACGCCTGCAGGGCCCAGCACGTGGAGGCGGCCTCGGCTCGGCTTGTTGGCCAGTGCCCATCCTGGAGGCTTGTCCTGGCGGGGCCACACGCCTTCTCTCCTCTGGAAGCAGTGTCCTCGCCCCAGACTGGCCTCACCCTGCTGCTCTCCAGGGCCTTCCCGGCAGGTCTGCATTTACCCTGTTTGTTTGGCTACGCGCCAGCTGCCCTCCCTTCGTCCCAGGGACAGCCTGTCCCATCTCTCCCTGCTCCTCACGAGCCAAACCGCTTTGCACTCAGGCTGGCGTCATTTCCAGACAGGACCACAGCCTGCGTGAGCCTTTTTATGTTAAGTAAAATGGTGCTTTCCCCCTTACTTTGAAATGCTGTATATTAACAATAATGTACTGACGTCTCTCGTCGGCGTGTCTGAGGGGGTCACTGACCGCCGGAACAATCATGGAGATCTTGTGGGAAGCCCTTGGAGAGCAGAGGTGACGAGCCAGAACCCCTGGGGAGGTGTTGGATTTAGGTCCGAGTCTGGGTCCCAGCAGTATTGCAGTCTTGTCACTCGGTCCCGGGAGCAGTCTCTGCATTTGTTTTCTTATGGCCCAGCGTGTGCCGAGACGGAATCTGTCCGCAAGCTGCCTGCTCTCCTGCCAGAGGCCTCACAGTGTTAGTGTTTTGTCAGGATGGTTTCCGTGCAGTTCTTCCCTGTCCGATGGACCAGCTCTTTCTCTGGGGTCCTGACTGTCCCTCACAGTGGCGCAGGGCGTGCGGGTGGACCGAGGAAGAGCTGGCTCGGAGAAGGGCTCCACGTGCAGGAGCAGGCGGGCATGGCCTGTGGTCCATGCGGCGCGTCCCTCAGCCTCCCGACTGCTCTCTCCTGGAATTCGTGCTGGACCTCCTCTCCTGCAGGTCCTGGCTCACTGGTGCCACGCCTTTCTTTCCCTCCCGGGCCACTTGGCAACCAATGACAGTAATGCCTGCTGAGGGCAGGCCGCTCAGTCAGCCTGAGCAGAGAACTAGACTTGTGAATCCTGAACTCTGATGTTAAGTTTTTGTGCTTTTTTGTGTGTATTTTAATTGCTGATGGGCCTTCTGCAAGTAGTATTAGCGCTTCCTTAATGAGGCTGAACTGAGCTAAGGATGTCCTTTCCTATAACTCGTGGACGCAGGAGGCCAGCGAGGCCTCAGGAGTCTCCTTAGTTGCTGCTTTGCCTTCCCAGGGCCAGAGAGACGAACTGCCGCGTTGCCAGGGCTCTGGAAACTTGTATTTCAGCCAGAAGGGGCTTGCTCTCCCTTCCCTCAGTACCCATGTGCCTGGGAGAGCTCCCGGGCTCCCGCTCTGGCCCCCCCTGTCTTCGCCGGAGCAGGAAGGGACGGGATGGACCCTGTGCCACAGTCTCCTTGCCTCTGTTCTGCCTGTTGCCTTGGGAAAGGTTGGCCCTTTGTTTTCAGGCTTTGTGACAATGTCATCTCTGCTTAGGATTGGCACCTGCTTCCTTCTTAGTAGGGCCCAGTGGCTTCTCTGAAGTTACGGTGGCCAGGGCCTCCGGTGCAGAACATCTGGCCCATCTCCCTGCAGGCCGAGTGGCCTGCTGCTTTCCAAATGTCAAGAACTGCTTTCTTTTTTCTTAAAGAGTTCTCCAGAATGAATTGACAATATACGTAAGTACCATGTTTCTTGTGTCTGCTCTGGTCTGGTTTGTTTTTAATCCAATGCCTGTTTGGGAGGAGAGGAACGTATCTAGTCTGTTAGATTTGCGCTGCTGGATTTTTTAAAAAGTGTAACCTTGACTAGCTGTCTTATTGTTTATCCTGTAAGATTAGCCTATCAATTAAAGTTTGATAATTAATTGCGTCTCCTTTTTCCTTCCACTTCTTCATGCGCCTTATTGATACTGGGGATGACCAATATTTGGAACTGTGCCTGGAGCCATTTTTTTTTTTTTTATGACCAATATTTGGAACTGGGCCTGGAGCCCTTTTTTTTTTTTTTTTTAACCAGCTATGGTCAACCATTTTCCTGTCTTCTTTATTTGACTTTGAGTATATCCAAATTTGAGTATATCCAGCAAAAAACAGTTGATAAAGAGATTTGATTTGATTGACTTCTGTATGAGTCAAAGTCACTGCCAGGCCATGCTCCTGGTGGGACAACCCTCCTCCCGCTTCGGCTCCAGGTGTTGGAGGCGATGCCACCTCCAGTCTGTACACCTGGCTTTGCCTCTGTGACTTCACCCAGCCGGTAGCCTCGGAGGACATGGCTGGTGACACACTGAGGTGGAGCTCCAGTTCCCGCCACAGCCGCAAAGACCCAGGAACAAACATGACACCAGCACCACTTCCATTGGACACTCTCGCCTTCCCTCTGCTTTGTAAATGTTCCCAGAGGCTCTGGTCCCGCGGCCCCTCGGCTCTTTCCATTATTTCGGTACCTCATACCCCGAAGCAGTGCTGTCGGGCCGTAGGGGCTGGCACTGCCCCAGGCTGCTCTCTGCAGTGGGCTCCTCCGGGTTGGATCCCAGTTCTGAATGGTCGCTTCAGGCTCCTTCAGATGATAGGGAGAAGGAGGTAACCTGTCGCCTGAATAGCACACCATACCTGCAGTTTCACAGCTGACACCCCTTTCTCACCTGGGACCCCACAAGCCAGACCGCCACTAGGGCAAGTAGCAATGACCTCTTCCCCCTATGCCCAAAGGCCGTCAGGTCAGGGTAGCCGGTGCACATGCAAGTGGAGGTGCTTCTCCCGGAGCCCTGGCCTGCCCCACGTGGCTGCGCTCAGCCGGGCTGACCTGCCTTCATAGTTATCAAGGCTGTTTTGTTCGAAGCCTTGTTAGCCTGTCTTACCCTCTTGATACAACTCTTCCTGCTGTCCACCCATGTTGTACCTCCTGGTACAACCCTTCCTGCTGCCCACCCCATGTTATATAACTCCTGGGTGTGTGTTTTTTTTTAATATAGTTTTATTGGTTTCAGAGAGGAAGGGAGATGGCCTTCATGCTGTCCACCCCATGTTATGTAACTCCTGGGTGGTTGTTTTTTTTTAAATATAGTTTTATTGGTTTCAGAGAGGAAGGGAGATGGGGAGAGAGAGAGAAACATCAATGATGAGAGAATCATTGATATGCTGCCTCCTGCATGGAGATCTAGCCCACAACCCGGGCATGTGCCCTGACCAGGAATCGAACCTTGACCTTCTGGTTCATAGATAGATGATCAACCACTGTGCCATTCTGGCCGGGCACTCCTGGTTTTTAAGTTTTATGTTTTTATTGATTTTGAGAGAGAGGAAGTGAGAGGGACATAAACATTGATGAGAAAGAAACATCGATCAGCTGCCTCCTGCATGCCCTCTACTGGGGATTAAGCCCACAACCTGGGTAAGTGCCCTGACCGGGAATTAACTAGCAACCTTTCAGTGCATGGGATGACACTCAACTAATTAAGCCAAACTGCCCAGGGCAAAATATGACTTTTATGTGTCATTTATTACACAATACATGGTATTTGTAATTTACAAAATACTGAACAAAATAAGCTCTGTGTCTACCATGTCATAATCATTAACATCTCGGTGTGTTTTCCAGAAATGGGGTCATGCTGGTTAAAATCTGTCTGTACTTAACAGTCTTTCCACATGATCGCATAACTTCCTATGTAACCAGTCTCATCGCTGGAATATCCAGTTGTATGGCGTGTGTCCTTTCCGTTGCATGTATCATGTTGAATTTCCTCCCTTATATGGACAACTTTCAAACAAGTTGAAAGAATAGCATAGTGAACACGCACATACACGCCTAACTTATAGCCGTCACCCAGTCACTGGTTACCCTTTTGCTATTTTTTTTTCTGACCCATTTGAAAGCTAACTGCAGCCCTGATGCTACACCTCTAAGTACTCAGTGCGAACCTCATGAGAATAGGTTAGTCTGACCAGAATAGCACTGTATTCCTAATGGGCTGTCTCATCCCCAGCACCCAGCCCCACACTCCCCTGAAGTTGATGTCTCTGGTCTCCTTTTATAATAGTTATCTATCCTCCCCCATGATTTTATTTTATATTTTTATTGATTTCAGAGAGAAAGGAAGAGGGGGAGAGAGAGAATCATTAATCAGTTGCCTCCTGCATGCCCCCTACTGGGGATTGAGCCTGCAGCCTGGGCATGTGCCCTTGACTGGAATTGAACCTGGGACCCTTCAGTCCACAGGCCAACTCTCCACTGAACCAAACCAGGTAGGGCTATTTTAGAGCCCTACCTTCTGGATGTTTCCTCATGATCAGATTCAGGTTCAACCATTCTAGCAACGTTTCTTCCTGCTCATGGGCCGCGCAGTGCTTGCACTGTTGGTGATCTGAATGTGACATGTCACATGGATGCTAACTGTCCCCCTCCCGGATGTGGGCTCCCAGGAGTGGAGGCACACAGGACTCACCTGTGCGGGGCTCACCCAGTGGCAGTGCTGCACGTGGTGGGCATGTGATGTTTGAGTGAGTGCCCTTGCACTGCAAGTCGGGCCGGAAACGGGCCTCACAGCCACTCTCACAGAGGGCACTAAGGCAGGTGTACAGGTGCTCGGGGCCATTAGAACTATGCACACCGTCCCATCTCTTCACGCTCACTTTTTTTTTGTAGGGTATATCAGTTAGACATTGCTTCATGATAGATCACCCAAAACTCTGACTTAAACCAATGAACAGCCCTAGCCGGTTCGGCTCAGGCCTGTGGACTGAAGGGTCCCGGATTTTATTCCAGTCAAGGGCAGGCTCCTGGCCCTGGTGGGGTCCATGCAGGAGGGAACCAATCGATGTGTCTCTCCCTCTCCCTTTCACTCTAAAAAATCAATGAAAAAAGTCCTGTCCTCAGGTGAGGATTGAAAAATAAATTAAAAAATAAAACAATGAACATATTACTTGGGTATGTATGAGTCAGATGGTGGGTCTGTTGCTCTAGGCCAGGCTTCTATGATCGTCCCTACGTTTGTTCATAAATTCGTGATCAGCTGGCAGGTCCAGTGGGGGCTGGCAGGTCTAGGACAGCCTCAATGCTTCATTCCTATGCCTGGTGATAAAACTTGTACATTCCACCACGTGCCATTGTCCACAGGTCATCCCAGGTTCAAAGGACAGGTCACACATTCCACTACTGAGGAGCTGCAAATCGGTCTCGGTATGCTGTCTTCACTCCTCTAGCTGTAGGACTTCCATTCAGCCAGCTTTCAAGAAGTTCTGAAGGTTCTGTATTTTAGTTGTAATTTTGATGTGGTTGTGGAAGGCGGTGCGTACAAGCCTTTATGCTGCCACCTTGGTTCTCTGCTCGCACGCTTATTAAAAATTGACTTTAGAGGGAGGGAAAGAGAAACATCGGTTGGTTGCCTTCTGTACGGACCCCAATCTGGGATCGGACCCACAATCTGGGTATGCACCGTCTGGGAATCAAACCTGCCACCTTTTGCTGTACAGGACAACGTTCCCACCAACTGAGCCACAGGGCCAGGGCCACCACACTGAAAAGCTCCATGTGGCCAGTGGCTGCCTACTGAGGGTGCCACACATTCCAGTACTTAGAGCAAAGGGCCTTTGCTATTATTTGAACACTCAGACCCTAACTATTTGCCAAGGAATTATCTGTGATTCAGTGAATTTTCCTTCCTGTTCTGGCTCCTGTGGGACTTAGAACAGTTACTGAATGATGTGAACTGGCCCCTCTGTGCAGCAGAGCCATGACTGAGGTGGCAATACCACAGGCCTCATCTCTTAGGGAGAAGCAACCTGACTTTTTGTCAAAATGTGCAGCTGCCACGGGGGTTAGAATACTCAGAACAAATTGCCCCAGGTGTTACTTATGATGTCCCATGTAAACCTGTTTCATTCTAAGTACACTGCTCGAAAAGTCATGCATTTTGAACTGCATGAATACAATGTCAGCAGACAGATCTTTAAAACTATTAAGCACAGTCCTGGCCAGTTTGGCTCAGAGGATAGAGTATTGGCCTGTGGACTGAAGGGTTTGATTCTGGTCAAGGGCACATATCTCAGTTGCAGGCTCAATTCCTGGCCCTGGTTGGGGCACATGCAGGAGGCACCCAACAATCGATGTTCTCTCACATTGATGTTTTTCTGTCTCTCCCTCTCCCTCCCACTCTCTCTAAAAATCAATGGGAAAATATCCTTGGGTGAGGATTAACAACAACAAAAACAAAAAAAACCTATTAAGCATAGTCAATATAAAAATGTACTTTATAGACATCACTGAAAAACTAAAGACTGACAAAAATATTGCTTTATAGATTTATTTTCAAAGGGCACAAAAACTTAGACAATTTAAATACAAGTTTAAACAGAATTGCTCTGTTGATGTCAGCAATGATGCCAAAACTGGTTCTCTCGGCCAGACACTCGCCTCTATCTTCTTGGTGAAGAAAAGGGGTCTGGAAAAGACACAGTAAGTGCCACAGTAAGTGCAGTATTTCTTTTTTATTGATTTTACCAACTTTACATGAAGATCTTTGAGGTGTTACATCCAGAGTACCTGAAGTTACAGGCACCAATGCAAGGCTTTATTTAACAAGTCTCACCACTTGATTATCCTAGAGCCCAAATAACAGCTAAATTTGCATACACCACTGAATTTTACCTTCACAAAAATCCCAGGTAGGTCCTACCTTTATCCCCATTGGACATATGGGAAACTGGAGGCTCACACAGGCTAGATAGCCTGCATACGACCACCAGACTTCAGAATGTGACAGAACTGACAACAAACAGGGGTGCGACTCCAGAGCCTGTCTTCTTGCCCATGAGGTCTCTTAACAGCCAACAGCTAAGGCCATCCCAACTTCTGGACAGCTAGGCCCGGCCTAGGCTGCCGTGGGAGGTAGCGGTCTCTGCTTCTTGGTTAATTTGTGTAGTGTTTTCTACAAGACCGTGCTAGGAGGGCTTACTACCCTAGGGAGTCTGTCCAGGAATTAAGTGCTCTCAACCCCCCTCGAGGATAAAGATTAGGTCACTAAGGCTGGTGCCTTGGAGTGGCAGATAACCACAGGGCCTGCATTTTATAACCAGTAAAACCTGTCAGGCATTTCCATTCTCCTTTTCTTCCTGAGTCTTACTTTATTGAAGAACCCCACAGAGATTAATCCTATTGGAGAACATCATTCTAGTAAAATTATTTACCTGATACTTTATTCATATACATCCTTCTTATCTGCAATGTAATCTACAATTTCTTGTGGACACATCAATTTCTCCGCATCTATATCAGGAATTTCAAACCCTAAAAGTAAAATGTACAACATGCATGAGAGTAGAAAGAGCAAATCCTTTATTTATTTTTATTGATTTCAGAGAGGGAGAGAGAGAAACACCAATGATGAGAATCATTGATTGGCTGCCTCCTCGCATGCCCCCCATTGGGGATCGAGCCCGCAACCCGGGCATGTGCCCCCACAGGGAATCGAACCGTGACTTCCTGGTTCACAGGCTGACACTCAACCACTGAGCCATGGCTGCTGGGCCAAAAGCAAATCCTTTACACATGAAAGCACCAATACCTCCATAACACCCTCAAGTATATCAAGTTGCCAGCAACCCTGAGTCCATTCAAGTTGTGACCCAGTTATGTCTAGACCAGCCGTGGGCAAACTACGGCCCGCGGGCCGGATCCGGCCGTTTGAAATGAATAAAACTAAAAAAAAAAAAAAGACCGTACCCTTTTATGTAATGATGTTTACTTTGAATTTATATTAGTTCACACAAACACTCCATCCATGCTTTTGTTCCGGCCCTCCGGTCCAGTTTAAGAACCCATTGTGGCCCTCGAGTCAAAAAGTTTGCCCACCCCTGGTCTAGACAGTGTGTATATTGTATTGGGTAAAATGGTTGGTTCTCTTTAAAAAGATATAATTCACATAATAGAAAATTCACCCATTGAAAAGTATAAAATTCAACGGTTTTTAGCATCATCACAAGGTTGTGTAACCATTACCATTATCCAATTTTAGAATATTTCATTACCCCCAAAGAAATTCCATCCTACCCTCCCTCAACAGACATCATGCCTCTAGTTAGCTTAATCTGTGAGGAGTCTACTAAGCTCTGCTCTGTGTGATGGCACACAAGTCCCTTGGCTTCTATTCAGGCAATTCATCCCCCAAATTAGTTGTGGAACCTTGAATGGTCTCATTTGCACAACTAACTGTCCCAAACCAGAATAGCCTGGAGCATGCACAGGCGACATCGCTAGAAACCATGGTGCAGGCGTGCACAAGAGTGCATGTGAAGGGGGGCCTACTGTTTCTATTTATGTATCGATTCAAATCCCAATTCAGACTCCTAACATTCTTTCACTTTAACCCATCCAAATCAAGAATCACTCTATGGGCTCTAGTCGGGTTGCTCAGTGGTTAAGAGTGTCATCCCGAGCCCTGGCCCGTTTGGCTCAGTGGATAGTGTTGGCCTGTGGACTCAAGGGTCCCAGGTTCAATTCTGGTCAAGGGTACATGCCCGGGTTGCGGGCTCGATCCCCAGTAGGGGGCGTGCAGGAGGCAGCCAATCAATGATTCTCATCACTGTTTCTCTTCCCCTCCCTCTCTAAAAAATCAATAAAAATCTAAACAAAAAACAAACAAACAAAAAAAAACTTAAAAAAAAAAGTGTCATTCTGCTACATCAAGGTTTAGGGTTACATCCCGCCAGGGCACATACCAGAATCAAACAATAAATGAATAAATAAGTGGAACATCAAATTGATGTTTCTCTCCCTCTAAAATCTCACACACACACGTCACAATATGAAGACCCACGATTCAGCCAGTGAGCGTTACCGAATTCGTCCTCCATGGCCATGATAATCTCCACTTGGTCCAAACTGTCTAAGCCCAGGTCTTTCATGAAATGGGAATTTACTGAGAGCTGCAAGAAGGGGACACCAAACACAAAATTCAGTCTTAGAGCTTTTGCTTCACTAGATAACTGAGTGGTACAGTGTTAATCATGACACAGAAGGTTATTTTTAAAAGGGAGGAACCATAACTAACATACCTCTAACGTGTGCCGACATACACTTGGTGTGCTTTACATGTCAACTTTTTCAACCTGTTTTAAATTGGTTAACAATATATAAAAAGCTAATGATGAAGTTCACTTTACATAGTAAGATCTTTGTTCATTGCTCTGCACGACATTCGAGATTTGGTTTTTCTTGCTGCCTGATTAACAACTAAGACACTACACCTTAGAAGTGACCTTCTAAGATGGTGTGTATTACCACCTGCCCTTAATTCAGACCTCCAGATCACCGGGAAGAGTTCTTCAACACCCACATCCAACCGCTGGCCTGGGGTCATGTACAGCGTGGTGACCTGAGTGAGTAATACTGTCCTGCACATTTGAAAGTTAAGAGACTAGGTCTTAAAAGTCCTCATCACAAGAAAAAACCTTTCTGCAACTGTGTGATGATGAACGTTAACTAGACTTATTGTGGTGATTAATTCATAATATATATAACAAATAACTGAAACTAATATGTTATGTGTCAATTGTACCTCAAAAAACAAAAAAACCCTCCAAAACCACACTATCCTCACACAACAGATTCAATCATTAAAGAGGAAATTTTGTGTCGCTATGAGAAAAACTCCAAAGGTTCAGAAAGGTGCATAACCGTATTTACAGTACACTTACCACTGTGTTCTTTTAAAAGGGTGGGAGATACAGACCACCCAGCACATACAACATACATGTGCGTGTGTTACTGCCCTGCACACACGCTCAGTATCTTTGGGAATCACTGCTGCCTCCCAGAGGGGAATGGACTGAGCAGAAAGACTTTTTACTGCATGTCTGTCTGGACGCCTGCATTTTGTATCACGTGATTAAGTACGCATGTAAAGAAAAGAACATGTAAACCACACCCATTACCTTTTCTGGGTCAATCTTGTCATAGAGTTTCAAGACATAAAGAACGCGGTCCTTGATCCCCTCTAACGTCAGCGGGGGCGCGTCACTATACTGGCGGCACAGCTGTGTGACTCTGCCTGGCACCTAGGGCAAGGGCAGGAAGGAAACATTGAGCCTAAAATGCCTCAAGTGCCCGCTGGTGCGGCTCAATGGTGGAGCGGTGACTGAGGAACCAGGAGGTCACGGTTCGATTCCTGATTAGGGCACAGGCCTGGGTTGCAGGCTCAGTCCCCAGTGCGGGGCATGCAGGAGGCAGCCGATTAATGATTCTCTCACAATTGATGTTTCTATCTCTCTCCTCCTCCCCTCCTCCCTGAAATCAATAAAAGTAGATTACAAAATAAAATGCCTCCCAGAAAATGCACTGGCCTGTATTGGGTATCTTCCACACCGCACTTAGGGCTCTAGAGAACCCACCCATCTGATTCTAAGTGTGGCCCCCAGGCCGCACCAGGTCCCTGCTGGGTACTCTGATGCCCTAGGCCAGTGGTTGGCAAACTGCGGCTCACGAGCCACATGCGGCTCTTTGGCCCCTTAAGTGTGGCTCTTCTACAAAATACCGACTTCTGCGCATGGGCCACGAAGTTTCAATCGCACTGTACGTGCGCACCCGCATGTGGTATTTTGTGGAAGAGCCACACTCAAGGGGCCAAAGAGCCACATGTGGCTCGCGAGCCTCAGTTT